ACCATATCGCCATTATGTTTAGCATCAACTGCATCTCACTTCTCAATGGGTTGTTCAACAGCATCTGAGATCAACGGAGCAACTGACTCTTCTCCTACTGTCCCCGCAGAAGTGATAGATTGCTGGCAGAAGATGATAACTGCTGCAGCAGATATTTTCAATGTAAGTATTTGAAGTTGATTCAGAAGTGGAAATTATTGGAGATTTTTTCAGACCGCTGATAACTTGCTGGGATCAGCAACGGATGAGGTTTTGAAGGAACTTGCAGAAACGGAGCGAGGTGATGGTTACCTCAGGTTGGTGATTTGAATGGTAGCAATCTCTTATAGAAGCATTTTTTCCATACCCATGTTTTACACGTGTGCGACAATTTATCTCTCGTGAAAAAAAATCGCACAAAGATTAAATTCCGTGTACTCGAGCGAATCAAACAGCTTTTGATTCTACCTTCAATATATTAATGTCACTACACCCAGTGCATTGGGTTATGTCAACAGTGAAACAAATCCATGCGTCGCCCCATAATCTTGGATTACATGGTTATCTCAGCGCAGCGGTGGTGGGACATCATTCAGGCCTAAAATTAGCCTTAACGCACAGAACAAAGTGTGCATTCTATGTCTGCACGACCAGATGCTGTCTATGCGCGTGTTGATTGCTGTGACACGACACTATGCTTTCTAAGCTGATAAACTATATCTCTGCGTGCTTGTCAAGGATTTGTTTCAGAGCCAGTAGTTCTTTTTTGAAGTAATTTTTCGCTAAGTGTTCCTTTTAGGTGCTTAAATCGTCTCTTCTTCGTTGTTTGTCGCGTTGAACGGTCTGCAAGCGCTGACTTACCTCAAAGATACCTCGATGATATCGCGAAATGTGGGAAGATTTGGAAGCGACTAGGTGGTTTTATGGTGGGTCAACCTGAAGAAGACGAGAGCTCGGAACAAGCTGGAAAGTAAGTTATAGAATCTCATTGTTTTTCTTTAATTTGCTAGTATGCCATACATAGTCGTCCATCTTTGGCGTCCCATCTTGGATATGCAACGGCAAAAACGCAAGAGACTGATCGATTGTTATTGCATATCACGTTGAGGTGATTAGTACTTAAAAGAAAGAAAACATTGAAATACGTTGAAAACACTGAAGGGTTGTCTCATCCAAAGCCAAGAAAAACGTTAGAGGTGGCCAATGTGTGCAGTGACACACATAATCTATGAAATGATTCGACTGTAAATACTCTGTTTCAGAAAATGCGCGATTTGCTACCAACCAGTGTCGAATGCAGTATATTTTGGTGGACAAACATATCATTCGGAATGTGCTAACCTCTGGGTAAATGAAATCAACTCTATGTTGCCGAACATGCATCTAGTCTCATGAGTTTGAATTCGTCCGC